CAAATCCATAGGCATTTACTTTTCAAATGATAAAACACACACACACACACACACACACACACACACACACACACACACACACACACACACACAAAGAAAAGCTAAATAAAGTGAACATACCTCGGTGGAAACCAAAATATTGAACTCTTCCCTGAAAGGAGGCGAGGGCAGGAAGGTCATTTTAATTTGCAAAAATTCTACAATAACCTTCACAGAAAGGTTAGGATTTTGATCAAATAAAACCAATTATTATAAAAGCTTTTTTAAAAATATGTCTAGTGGGAAAGGATTTCTCCTTTAAAAACTCAACTTCAGTGGCTAATATATTGGCTAGAAATCATGAAACAAACCAGATTTCTGTGACAAATTCTGTTCAGACCAATGCGTTTCATTTGGAAGATAATCGCTGATCATAGGAAAATAGGTATTCATTTCTTCGTACTTCCTGATGTTTAATTACCAATGTCAAAAGTGGTTAATGTTTATTATAATTACACCATAGTAAGTTCATTTGTTCTCTACATATTTTTTATTAATGGGTTGCGATAACTCTGGAAATGCATATTTGGTTCATATTATATACAGAATAGAAAGAGATGCTTTTGTGGAATCTAAGTGAAGTGATTTTGAGCAGGTACAAGTATTAGCCTGTCACCTTACGCTAAATTAGTCTTGTGGTGTACTGTAATGATATACATTGCATGAAAAATTTACTCCTAGCTGAAAATTCACAGAAACCAAAAAGCCACCTATTACCAAATATATTGCTCAATGCTGCCATCTATAGGACAGTTACAGATGATTTGTGTAATAGACTAAAGTGTATTTTAAAATTATAAGAGACCTAAATGATTCAACAAAACACTGGAACAGCTATGTTGATATTCACAAATGCAGGTATGATTCCAGAAGTTAAAACTTTACATACCACGAGTGCACTATTGGGCAATATGTCTACAATTAGCCTTAAAAATGGAAATATTCGTTTATGTGTGAGGCTATTAGGGACATCATACAAACTATAAACTATTACATATACCTCTAAAGTGGCTTTTAGCTGTGAACTTATTGAATTAATCTGTTATAAATTAAACATTTTATATATGGTCAACATAGAGAAGTATGTTACTGTCATAAATAACAGAAATTAGAATTGAGTCGGCTAAAGGTGCAAGTAACCATTTGAAAATTAGCAAGTATTTCAAATACCAAAACAGATGTTTTACTTAAGATAAATAGGTTACAGCTGGGGGAGCTGTTTAAACATTGTCATCTCTAGAATTAATTTTGGCAATTTAGAATGATGCTGGAAGGAAAATCAAAACTTGCAGATTTTCTCATGTTGATGTCTATTTTTATTTTAGCTCAATAGTAACAAATATTTGAATGCCTGTGGTGCAAGGCAGTATGAAATATATAGAGACAGCTTCTTACAGCTTTGATGGGGATAATAAGAGAGGTACAAAATAAAGAGAAATGAGCATTCAAGGTTTGTATGTGTATGCTACGTGTCAAACGAGTTGTTTTTGTTTAGAATATGTGGAGATCGTGGTGGATGAAATGACTGATGAAATCTTTATGAAGGAGAAGAGTCTTGAACTTGAACCTGAAGGACCGACATAACTCGGGTGAGTAATTGGCAATATTTATTTATTTAAAGTGTATGTGTGTATGTATATATGTGTTGCCATTCTGGTGTTTCGGAGCACCTCCGTGTGCTGGGCACTGAAGATTTAAATATCTAAGACATGATCCTGCCCGCAGAAAGCTTACGATGAAGGCAGAAGGCGTGAAAAAGGAGGCACAGGGCAAATGAGACCCCTTAACAACCAATTGCCTTCTCACGTAAAAGTCATCCACCACAGGCAGTACAATTTGGGAGCCTGGGTATGTCTTTCCCCTTAATAACCTTGTTTTCTCCTGTAATTAAAATTGTTCTTCCTTTCGGATGAAAAATGTGAAAGAGTGAAATGAAAAGTGAGCTGGACAGTCAGTTGGGCTTGAGAACCTGCTAGATCAATGCTGCTTCAAGGTGAGGATCTTGTTAATAGTCAGGTTCTGATTCCGAAGGTCTCCAGGGCAGGCTGAGGGTCTGCATTATTTTAACACACTCCAGGTGATGCTGATTCTGCTGGGTGGGTCTGGGCACCCCCCACCCCACCCACTTTATAGTAGCGCTGTTCTAAATGACCGATGATTAGTTGGAAGGCACCATAACATGGTGCTGTGACTTGCAAGCAAGGCATGTGCATTTTAGTATTATATACATACCAAGAGAGCAGCAGCAATAAAACT